TCGCGTCTGCTGTGGGCTGGCTGAGGCTGAGAAGTCTTGAGCCAAGATCCTGACGGACACGGTGGGATGTGTGCGCGAAGGTGTGCCCTGAAGGCCGTTCGATCTCTGTGCTCAACTTGGCATCCTGGGAGGTCGCGCTGGTCCTTCAATGGGCAGGTCATCGATTCAGCCGTACTCCATTCGTATGTGTGCCTCGTGAGCTCAGGGGCGCATCGACCCGACATCCACGCTCGAAGCAAGTGTCGCCTCGTATGATCAATGCTGCTGAAGACCGTGTTGCAATTGACGCATTTATTGTCCACGCAGATCTGGGAGAGGACGAGGGGCGTGCCGTGGCCAGGAAGGGCTGTCGCATTGAGCTGATGCTTGACCAGCTCGCGATTCGTAGTGAAGCGTGCACGGCATCCCTCTATCCCGCATACGAGTGGGGCGAGCTCCTCTTCCTCGCTGTCTGCGTCGCCAAGGGGGTCATCGCTCGGGAGCTGCTGGGCGACGTGTTCAGGGGGGGCCCACTCTTGTCCTCGCACCGTCGATCTCATGACACGGAAATCACACACACGGAAGGCCTCCGAAACTTCAGGATTGCAGAATAGGTTCTCCAAGGTGCGGGGCTCCCAAAGTTCTCTGACATCTTCGCCTACGGGGTGGGGCAGGACCGTCTCGAGATCCTCGCGGAACTGGCGGGCCCAGGGGTGCACGTCCATGGACGGGTTGAGTTCGCCATTCTCAAGAACTGTGCGTGCTGCTGCTGGTGCTCCTGCTGCGCGCGCCCGTTCCTCGAACCTGCGCTCACCAAAGAAGGCGCTGAGATAGTGACGGTGGTGTTCGGGCTTATTCATGATCGACTGCCACCACCCCAACCTCCTTATCGTCAGCTCCACCACCGTGGGCGGGATTTGCCACTCTTCAAAGACTGCTCGGGACGCGAGAGACGTGTGGGTGCCATCTTTGTGCTCAACATGTGCCGCGCCCGCCATCATCGCCCTCATCTTCTCGGCGAGGGAGGTGTCGAGGGCCCGAATCTCCGAGGGGGTGAGTACATGCGCTTCCAATCCAGACCAGACACGGCCAGCAACGTTGGCCAGAAAGGTACTCCCCTTACTCCTCCGAGGGCCTGGCGCACTCCAGTACTTACGTAGGTTGCACCATCCTATGGATCCTGCGCGTACTCGTGCTTGCACATCATGTTTGTTGCTGCCGTTTACGTTAATGTACCCTCCCAAATGTTTGAGACTCATCATCGTGTTCCCCGATGCCCGCTCCTCCGCCTCCTTCGTGTCCCTCATGTCGCTAGATGTACAAGGGTCTCTTGCTTCTGAACGTGTTGTGCGTATCCGCCCTCTGCGAGATGCTTGTTTAAAATCTGGTTATCAAGGTGGTCGAGGCTCACGGCCTCGCGTGCTTTTCCACTCGGTATGATCAGGACTCGGATCAGGTCGTCAATGAAGCCGCCAAAGGCGAGGTCGTCCCATCTGTCGTGTAGGGGGCCTTTACACGAAAGGCTGTCTCCAATGATGGTTCCGAGCTCACGCTGCCGCGCACTGACGATCGGGTAGAAGGACTCCATAAACAATTCTGGCTCATTAGAGTCGCCCATCCTCCCACCCGTCTTCGGTGTCATCGCCGCGTCACCGTCGCTCGCCTCATAGTACAATATTCCCGTGCTCCTATGATGTGTAAGAAGCTCATCGAAATACTCGTCTACACCGCGTGACCGATGTGCGTTGTGCAAGCGTTCCTGATCCCCTGTGCCAAACGCGTTCCTCATGTCATATGATTTGACAATGTAGTAGTGTTTGCACGTGCGCAATTTCCACATGGCAAGTTTAATCACGGTCATGAGCCCCTCCCTCCTCCTGTGTACAATGCCACCGTACGCCCATATAGGGGGGTCGAACGTGCTACCATAGTCGACTAGTCCTACGCGTAGTAGAAGTCGCCACCAGTGGCAAAAACAGTGAAGAAGTCTCAGGCATCGTGTGATATCCACGACCGTATTTCCTGTTGGCAGCTTACCTGGCTTGCTTATGGCTATGGCATGGCTGGTGCGCGCGCGCTGTGGTAGTAGCCACCGTGCTCGAACGTGCGATAACAACTGTACCAACATGTCATATCCAGCCCGAGCCTGGACATCATCGATTACAAGCTGGCGCCGAGGGCGGGCAGCCTGCGCCTTGAAGTCCAACAGGTCTGGGTCGCGGGCTCGCCACGTGGAGCCTATACCCTCGCGGGAGTTGCTCGGCCTGAAGAGGGCCGAGGGGAAGAGAAGTAACTTTGTGACCTCCACTGGCCACGACCAAGGTGGCGCATACCTGCGGTGGTGACAGTGACGTACCCTTGCCTTCACGAAGTCTAGGTCTTCTGTCGCACACTCGATATCCTCGATCGTGGGCAAGGACAAACCTCGGGGGCCGTACGCTGGGAGCTCCTCTAGGGGGGCCTCGATCAGGGTCTGGATCTTATCTGGGTTCATGTGGGCGCTTAAGACCGTGTCGACCGCCGTGAGCCCCCCCTCGATACCAGGTTTCTGAAGGGCTTCTCTGAAGTCGGCCGAGTTGGGGCGGCACATGGGGAGGGCGAGATAACTTCGTTTCCTGGGTCCCGTTCTGGTACCAGCTCGAAGTCGGACGAGTTTGCCCACTCTACCTTGATCCCGTACCTCCCATGCCTCCCTGATCTCCTGCTCGAGCGACTCCTTCCTCCACCATTCCTTCCACCTCGCGTGCGCCTTGATCATCGAGTCGATTCGTCGAAGTGGTTCGCTGTCAAGCAGAAATCCCTGGCCCCGCATACTTGCCCTCCGAATCAGCAGTTCTCGTCTCTCCGCTTTGGCCTCCTGGACCCAGTCTGGAACAGAGTGTTCAGCCGAAAAAAATTCCCGAGCGACCTCCCTGATGCTGTACGCGACAACGCCGGCGTGCCTGGTCGGCTCGCCGTCCGTGGTGAGGGCTCGGCACAACACTCTCCTCTCCTCCCAGACCTGCCCCATCCTGGCCAAGAACTCTTCTCTTCGATACCCCGTCTGAAGCGAAGCAGCCAGGGCCCCCCAGTCCCACTGAATGTTCTGTTGTTGATCACGGGGGGTGGGCGCTGGTATGGACAGCCTCAGACACATAGGGACATGATCTATCATGTGTGGGAGGGCTTGGAGTCTCTTCTGAGATTTCCAGAACAAATGCATTTGGATTCCCGTGTCCAGTAATGCTCGAGGTCCTAGAAAATAATCGATACGACTCCTAGCTCCCTTAAGCCCGTGAAAGGTGTGTCCCAGGTCGAAGAATGTGTTAAGGAAGCTCATCTGGCTGTCGGCATACGACCTACGGGTAACCGTGGCAAGCTCATCTTCATGCTCGGCTTGGAAGGGTCCAGTATGTTCGTCGTGGAAAACCCTGCTCCCCTTCCGTCCCATCCGAAGGTTCATATCAGCGAAGACTATGGGTGTGATGCGCCCTGGGGCGTGGTCAAAATCCTCCTTAATCCAGGCTGTAAGCTGTCTACACGTAGTACGCCATATCTGGATGCGACCTACCGAGCTGGTTCTGGGAGGGTAGTACCCCACAATTAGCCGTAGTCGTAGGGGTCCACGCTGGAGGTCTATGCTGCCAGCTCGTCCTTGCAGGTGGTGAGGCGGGTGGTTGATTCGTACAGTATGTTTCTGCTGAAACTGGCGGCTGGATACCGCGATGGCTACTCCTGCAGCCGAGTTCGTACTACCTCCCCTGCCCCATCCCCAGTGGATCCAGTGGTGATCTGGGGTCCTCTCGTAGAAGTGGGCATGGCCCAGGCGCATCGGTACCTTCGTGCCAGGGAGCAGGATAGCTGTTGTCTTGGCGAACTCCATTGAGATCGCCTCGGCTCTGCCCGTCCGTACTAATGTGTATGGATTATATCCAATAAAAGTGGCACGTATTCGTGATGGCGATGATGGTGATGATGGGGGAGACGCGATACTCTCGCCCTCTGTGATCCCCTCGGCCCGCTCTGTCGACTCGCCCTGCTCGTTAATCGTTTTCAGGCCCCGACCCATCGTGATGCCCTGGTTACCTATGTCCTTCCCCCCCCTCGTGATCACCGTTTCCTGGTCCTTGATCCTCTCCTCCTCCCCCGCGCCCGTCCCCTCCATGCCTCCTGCCCGCCGCCTGGCGGAGCACCGCGGCGCGGGGCCGCACCGCGGTGCCAGGGGGGGTGGCTGCGCCCCGATCCTGGCGGGTCGAGGGCGCGAGCGCGGAAGGGTGGCACAGGCCGCCACAATCGTGGGCCTGAGCCGTCCGCGGCCTTCGACGATCAGGATGGGGAGGAGGACGGGGAGGAATACGAGTAGTACGAGGACGAAGTGTGGGCATTCGAATGCGTTCGGGGCTTCGCCCGATTTATGCTCGCCGTTTGCGCTGCCTGTGGGGCCCAAGCGGCGAGCTGTCTTGTGATTTTCCACAACGCATGGGGTTTTTGACTTTCGGTTCATGGCTCGGGTCCCTGGCGGCCGTTCGGAACAATCTTGGGAACCCCCAGAATGCTCTCGGCGAGGCGCACCTGCAGGAAAGCGCCCTGAGGCTAAAACACCTCCAACATTCATCCCCAAACAACTGACGTGCCAACTCTTCCGATGCATGCGCCACGGACCTCTCGACGCTTTCCACAAGGCCAACTTTTCAGTCCGAGTAGTTTCGGCCCTGGACCCCGAAACCTGCCTCCAGCGGCCAACAATGGCCGCAAATTGGCCGCTCCGTTTTGTTCGACGGCGGTCTGGGACGAAGGCGTCCGACAACGCCGGCGGTGAAGGGCAACGATAGGGGGGGGCCAGCTCAGGTGGGGATACATTGAGCTGGAATCGGCGATACATCGCCGATAGATCGGCGATAGGCCCCCGATAGCAAATCCACACGATCCTGGGCGGGGTGGGCTATCGGGCCCCCATCGGCGATCAAGGGGCGCTTGGGGGGCGACTTCCTCTGCTCAGCCCATCTTCTCCATAACTGCCCCTGCGGCGGGCAGCGGCCCGCCTCCCCGAACGAGGGCATGAAAATCTCCACCGCGAACGCCTCGCAGAGGTACCCCAGGGAGCCGACGAACCTGCGCGCGGGGCTCTCGCTCCCCGCCCCTGGAGTTGCTCTTTGACGGCCCCTGTAGGCCCGAAGGCGGCGGGCAAAACTCCGTCCCGATTGCTTCAGAAGTTGGGCGTCTGGGGGGATGATGATGATGCTGCAGATGATGACGATACTGGTGAAGAGGACGACCTGATGATGATGCTGATGTAGATGATGGTGCTGATGATGAATATGATGTTGCTGCAGATGATGATGATGATGATGATGATGATGATGATGATGATGATGATGCTGATGGTGATGGTGATGATGATGATGGTGGTGGTGGTGGTGATGGTGGTGATGATGATGGTGGTGGTGATGGTGGTGATTATGATGGTGATGTTTTTTCCCACATCCAAAGTGGGGTTCTTGTTTTCTCTGGACACCCCGCGCAGGAACAGGATGGAAGGAAGGACCCCTCCTCTCTTCTAACTCACATGCTCACACACTCACATCATCATCCCCACAGCATCATCACTTACACACTCGCACACAATCTTATTACCAAACTCACCCACTCACCCACAACTACTACCCATAACTCTCCATCATCATCATCATCATGATCGGCATCATCACCATCACCATCACCATCACCATCACCATCACCATCACCATCACCATCACCATCACCATCACCATCACCATCACCATCACCATCATCATCATCATCATCATCATCATCATCATCATCAGCATCATCATCATCAGCATCGCCATCATCATCGTCATCGCCATCAGTATCAAAACGCTATCGTCATCAAAGCCTCGTCTGCGAGTGAATTGCTAGGAAGTCTGAGGCAAGCGCCCCCTCTCTATAGGGGCCAATCCGAACGGGTCATCGGCCTCCTGTATCTGTCGTCACTTCTGGGCCCCTGAGGCCTGAAAATGGACGAAGTATCAGGCGGGGGCCTCGTCTGTAAGAGAATTGCGAGGAAGTCCTGGGCGGGGGCCCCCTCTCTATGGTGGCCGCCGCTCATGTTTTCAATCCGAACGGGTCGTCGGCCTCCTGTAACTGTCGTCACTTCTGGGCCCCTGAAGCCTGAAAATGAGGAAGTATCGGGCGGGAGCATTGTCTGGGCGTGAATTGCGAGGAATTCTCAGGCGGGGGCCCCTTCCAAATGGGGCCCGCCGATCATGTCTGTAATCCGAGGCGGGTCATCGGCCTCCTGTCGCTGTCGTCACTTCTGGGCCCCTGAGGCCCGAATATTGATGAAATATCAGGCGGGAGCCTCGTCTGTGAGTAAATTGCGATGAAGTCTCTGGCGGGATTCCCCCCTTATGGACCCCGCAGAACATGCTTTTAATACGAAGCGGGTCGTCGGCCTCCCGTAACTGACGTCAATTCTGGGCCCCTGAAGCCAAGCCTGAATATGGAGGAAATCCGCCGATCCGGGTGCCGGGGTGGCTCTGCCGGGGTAGGGGGAAGGGGGGTGGTAATTCAATTTAATTCCAGGGGCTGAATCGGAGCTGCAGCTCACTCCGGGACGGCCCCTTCGCCCAGGAGGGCCCCAACATGGGCCAAGAGGGCCCCGAGTCGCTGAACGATCGCTACAAGACGCCCAGGATGTCCCCAGAACGGTTCCAGAAGCCTCCGAGATGCCCTCAGAAGCCCTGGAACCCCCCCCCCCCCCAAAAAAAAAAGAGCCAACGAAGAACAAAATATCCCATTCCCGCTGAAAAAACGCTCAATTTTAGCATGTTCGCCTCTTGGGCCTTCAGAGCGTCGCAAACGCCCCAAGAGAGCCCCAAAAGGGCCCAAGAAACCGCCAGGAGGGTTCCAACACGGTACGAAGAAATGCCTAATATGGCCGACGAGGTCGCCAGAAAAGGTCCAAAAGGGCCCCAAGACGGGCCCAAGAGGCGCATGAGAATGCGCCGAGGCGGCTGAATTGCCGAAGACGGCCCAACAACCCCCTTGGCAGGCCCCCAGAGGCCCCCAAGAGGCCTGAAGAGGCCCCAGAACGCTTCCAACTGGCCCCGGAAACGCTCCGTGAAGCCCCCTACAGGCCCTCAGGAGTTTCAAAACATGCGTCCAATACGCCTTCTAGACGCCTCCAAGCTGCCTCCAAGACCCCCCTCCGAAAACAAAAACCCAAAACAGGCCCCAACGCTTCCGCAGCGCTTACACGTCCGAACACAAACGTTGAGGTTCTTCCACGCTTTCACAACTTATCCCGTCTTCGGTGTCCTTCACATCCGTGACCTCACAAGGGCGCGGAGAGGACCGCGCGAAGGCCACACAAACCCACATAACTCCGACGGAAAAACCCACATGATAATCTTCTCGGCTAGTCTGGAAAAAACCCTCGCCGTCGGCCCCGTTATTGGCGAGGCATCCTTCCCGTCGCTTCTGCGTATATTGCTTCTCGCCCTGGCGCAGGCCCTCCTCCAGCTCCCTGCGCTTCCCCCGTCCTCGTCCTCCGGTTTTTTTTGTGCCCCGTCACCTCCCCTTGCTCTTGCGTGGACGCGCGTGTCAATTTTCCTCGGCGCCGTCGCCGGCTCGGCCAGCGCGGGCGCGTTCTTTACTTGCCATGTCGCGCAGCCGCTGGGGCAACCCCGCGGGCCAGGACGTCGGGGCAACCGCGCGAGCCTTTGGCGCGCAAGACCAGGCCGTTGGGGCAGCCCCGCGGGCTTCGAACGGGGCGCGGCCGCGCTCGTGCGGGAGGCAGCGCGAAACTCAGCTCTGCCGCGAGCTGCTCCGCCTCCGCCCTGGACGACTCTGCTCTCTCGTCGAACTCCTCGAGCGCCTTCGGCAAGGGCCGCTGGCGGCCCTCGCTCCAGGAGCTCTCGCGACGGCGGCCGCGGGATCAGCGTGTTCCGCATGCGCGTGGCGCGGGAGAACGCGACGTAGAGGTGCAGCCAACGCTGCTCGTCCGACATGCCCGCGCGGCCGGCGTCTTCGTCTCTCGCGCAGTCAATGGCGACACCCTTGCGCAGCGTCTGGCCATGCGACAGCGTAGAGGACAGGTAGGGCGCGTGCGCAAGGATGAATGAACCCCGAGCGGCGCGCGGCGCGGGGCCCCGAGCTCTGCCACTTGAACCCCTGCTCGCTGGGTCTGAGCATCAGCAAACCCCGCGCCCGCGCCTCGGCCTGGCCGTCGTCGTCGGCGTCTTCGGCGCCCTGTCGCAGCACCTCGGCGCCCTCCTGCTAGATCGGGGACCCCTTGAAGCCGTGCACCTGCAGCCGCGCCCCCTGGGGTCGGAATCGGGGGCGACAGAGCTGGCCTGCCGAGCGCTCCTCGCGCCGCCGATCGCCCGCGTGGTGGAACTCGAAGGACGCGATGAAGGCCCGTTGCTCCTACGCGAGCCCCAGCTTCTTCTCCGGCTCTTCCTGCGCGGCCGTGAACCGCACCTCCATGCCGACGTGTGCCGGCAACGCGCCGTGGATGTCCTTCGTTTTGCGCGTGTTCGGGGCGTCCAGGAGGCGCCGACCCGCGTCGGGGTCAACCTGAATCGAGCTGCGCTCGCCCACGACCTGCAGGAAAACGAAGGGCGCGCCCGGGCGCCGTGCGTCGCGACAAGCGCGCGTTGATCCACCTTGCCAAGGCAGTCGGAGGCCTGTGCTGCCGCAGCTGGTCTGCGCTCTGACGCGCGCAGCGGCGGGCTGACCGTCCGCGTCAAGAATGGCGGGAGCAGTGGCCCCCGCCCCTGAAGACCGCCTCGCAAGCGAGGCGTTCTGTCGTGCGCGATCAGACTGAGGATGCAGCGCGTCGCGCGGCCTGGCCCCTCGCCGCGGGCCTGGCGCGCGCGCGGGGGGGGGCGGGCGAGGGGCGGGAGGGGCGAAGGGGCGACCGCGTTTCAATCCGCCCTGCAGCTCAGTCTCGCGCGCGCACGCTCACCCCCGCGACGCCCGCCACCTCGCCCTCGCGAGGCATGGCGCCGTCGAGACACGCGCCCTGCGGCCCTGCGGAAGCCGGCTATGCGACAAAGATCCTGCGCGCAGAGCGCGGGGGTCGATGGCCATGAACACGTCGCGTATCTCTAAATCCTCCAGTTGCCGACGCACGCTGCGGCGCCCAATGCTGGCGAAGCTCAGCGGCGAGATCCAAAGACAGGAGGAGGTCGAAGTCACTGGCGAGTTGGACAGCCCAAGTGGGCGCCTTCGCGCTGATCGCGCCGCTGTCACCCAGGATCGGGACCCCCGCGCCGCCGGCCGCTCCTTCGATGGCCAGATTGCCGAGGAAGCCCGCGAGGAAGTGGGCGTGATGCGGAATGTCCGCAAGCATGTCGTGCCACCAGCACGGCCCGCGCACGGCGAGCTCCAGCGCGACGGGCGCGAGACTCCAACGGCGCTGTGGGCGCCGCGGACCTCCGCGCGAGCGCGGCCCTGGAGCGTGGACCGAAGCTCGATAATGAGACTGGCGTCGAGCGCCTGGTAGTCCGCCTTGCTGCACATGTAGCTCTCGCCCCCAGACGTGGCCGCGCCGTGAATGCATCCTCCGATTAGTAGTCGCTTCGGGCGCAAGCCTGCCTGGGACTGCCAAAACCCGCTGAGTTGGTTCCATGTGCGATTGATCGCTGGGAGTCTTTCTTTCCGCCCTGCCACGCTGCTTCCGGCAGCTGCGCGCGCGCCTCCAGGGTGTTTGAATTCAGGCAACATCTTGCCCGCCAATCTCGGATCTCTCGCCGGAGTGTGCGCGATGCCGCGGTCGCGGCCTCGGCCTTGCTCCTGTTCTGGTGCTCGCCGAGTGCTTCGTCGCTCTCGTCGAGACACTCGGCGTCGACGTTGCTGGCGTTGCGGGCGCCCTCTGCGGCGCGTTCTGGCGGCGTCGCGGTCAGTTCGGGCAGGCTGTCAATGAATAGTTCAACCCCAACTCTGAGAGTGCCGTGACACATGTCAGACGAGGCTAGAGTGCACTGGCTCACGGTCGTCGCCCACGGGCCCGCCGCTGCCAGCCTGGAGGTTGATCCAGTCCCGCGGGGAGCTGATGATCCTCATGTTAGCATCATATCTGCGCTGCGCTGTAAAGTCCAAGTTGC